CTTTCGCGAGCTTTCGCCCACAGAGTTTTTGCATCATGCGTCCCCGTGCCTATAAAATTTTAAACATGGGTTTTTGGACGATCCCCATGTATAAAAGGCTATACCGTAAGGGTACTTGGACAAGCCGTTTTTAATAATAGGGGATTCAGATATAAGGCGTCAGAAAGTTTCTGTTCCCAGTGTCTCAAAACACTTTTGCATCTGGACTGCAGCGACTCATTTTGGGCCGAAGCCTAGAGACACTTAAAGAATTGGTTCCTCTACACAGTATACGCATGTAAACGCTTGATAACGAAGCCCTGCCCTCAACAGTACGGCTTCATATACAGAGGTCCTTATTAATTACTTTGGGTCTTAACAAAGGGTTTCTCGATCAATGTGTCCGGTATAATCGGTATACAGAACTATGATGCATATGTTTGAACACATGGCGCATGCACCCTCTAAACGAACACAAAGAAGATATGGTCGTTGTTTGCAGGGACTGGTAACATGTTCGGAACATCCGAAAACTCGCTAAACGTATGTTTATAATCATATTAATATAGCCTCATGCCATACATGGAGCCACGAACCCGAACTCAGACATGTGAATGGGCATCACCTTCCTTCAAACTGTCGACATTTCGCATTCAAAACCTCTGACGAACGGCCGAGGGCCTCACAGCTTCGCCCATATCTGTCTATATACACATATGCATGGTCCAGAAAACCCAGTCATGCGCAGTCGCATCTTTGCATGTCGGATGCGGCGAGAAAACAGGAAGAATGTGGGTTGAAAACCGACCCACTAAATTGCCCCCGGTGCCACTTAGCCCACTTAGCTAAGTCGCGCGCCGTCGGTCTTAGAGGGACCGCCAAGTGGGACTTAGGTCTCACTTATAAGTACACGCGTCCCATTCAACACTAAGTGGGACAAGTAGGTTGTCCCACTTAAGGTTAACTGGCACAACCGAGTAGTAGGACTTGCACTTAAATCCAACGCAAGTGCCATAACTCAATGGTAAGTCGAACAATTAGATGGCCCTTCGCACAATTACACAGAGTTGCAACGCAACTGCTTCACATGCTGAACAACCACCTCGACACAATTGCACCACTTGGCGCCCCACTTGCATGACATATGTTTCATGTTGTCCTGTTTATATTTGTGGATGCAGAATTCACTCGTCACTTATAAGTGTAGCAGTGTAGCATAATCCATGCAAGTGCCCTAACTGACTTATAGCCAGGGCGGCCCTCCAAGTACCTCACGCCAGCGTATTAACCTTCACCAACCCGCTACCTCATGCCATCCTTTGCCATCACAACAACCATGAACTCATCAACGATAGCGACAGCCTTAACGAAGACCACCTCCGCCGAGAAACCCTTCGCCACGCTTTCGGGAAGAAGTACAAGACAAAATCATCGCGACAAATCTGCCAAAATCAAGCATGGCACACGGCCCAAAGAAGATTTCAGACAAAATAATTGATGCCAGCGTGTGTGAAGAAGACACCGTTACAAGGGAGGGATGGGACAGGTCCTTTGAAAGACTGTCTTTCGGGGACTCAGGCCGCTGCGGAGCTGTTGGAATGCCAGCCTTGCTCTCGAAGAGTCTTATCGCATTCAATACTTACTTTATACTTTGAATGCGAACAAAAGCGGCACGAACCCGGCCTCCACGGTTGGACTTTCTCACGCCTGGACCTTGGCCCAAACAAAATATCTTAACATCCTTTTTTGGCTGTGACGGCGACAGCGTGGCACACGGGCTCTGGCTGGTCTGTTTCAGGTGATGAACAGCAGTTGTCAGCTCGCGTGTCACTTGGCTTGCGACGCGGTGCCTGGGCTCGCTGTCAGAGCTTTGGCTACAGGGGTGTGTTATGATAGGCTGGTTGACTCTCAGCAGAAACTACTGTGGGGAGGGCTTGGACACAGGCACAGCCCAAGCCGATCTCTGCACCTTGCGAAGAGGCATCATCAGCACTCCGTTGCGGCTGTCTGAGTTGCAGTTGGCAACGCTGAACTTCTGGCCTTTGAACTTGCAAAGGTGCTGTCAGCGCAAGGATTGTCACTCATTGCCTGGGATAAACTGGCATCTGAAACAGCAGCTGACGACAATGAATGAGTCCCTGATTGATTGAATCTCTGAAATCGAATTAGCATGGCTGCACACAAAATGTTATTGCGTGATGTTGTGTGCCTTCTGTTCCGCGACGTGTCAGCTACAAAAGGTGGACCGCAGAAATCCAACTGCGGCTCGGATAATCCCAGTCTCCTTCTGAAGCTGTTCACGCCAGGTAACAGTTGACACTTAAAAAAAACATGCAAAATAGATGAGTGGAGTGGATTGCGGCTCCAAAAGCACGCCAATGTCAACACATTCCAAATTCAATCTTCAGAGGGTCTCAATGGGATAGGCATGGCATGGATAAAAGCCCGAGGTCTGTGGATGAGCCGCAACATGATTGAGGAGCTGGCGCCCACAGCCGGCCACGCCGGTGGCGCTTAAAGCTTAAGGGCTGAATGACCCGGCAGCCGTGCTGTGAAGACACGCACAGACCCAAAAAAAAATGATTCGTTTATGTATTGTGCAGGATACATCCAGTGGAATCAAATCTTTAACACATACACATGTGAAGCATACATCACGTAGGATGCAACAGATAGGGCGGGGGGGGCGGGGTGGGAGGCCCGGGGGTAGGGAGGTTGGGGGACGAGGGCGCAACGCCATCATCTTGACTGGAGGACCTCAACGCGAGGGCATCTAAGCGTAAGAAAGAAACAGGGGCAGGTTCAGAGTTAGGGCAGAAACATCGGACACGAAATTTGGTTCCCATGCCACTCACACCCACCATAATGCTTTCGGGGTTGCATCAGCCACTGCAGAAATCGATGCATGCCCCACAGACAAACTGGGGTCAGCTCAAATATGAAATACTGACAGCGCACACGTATCACGAAGTCATCGTAAACCACAGAAGGCCCTGGATCCTAAAACCCTCAATAACACCCAAAGAGGCCGCAATGAAAGATATCTCAAACGGAATTTCATCAAGCTTTCAGGCTCGATGACAGCTTGTCCTGGCTTTGCGGCATAAGGGCCCCAAAATGGAGACGGGGAACCCCAATGATACTGATAATGCTGCAGCATCTTTGGGGATCAGATTCTCCATTTTTCAGGCCCCTCTGCGCCCCCCTGGACCCTTCTTTGAATCCCAAGACAGTACCTGGCGCTGGTTTTCAAATCACCCAGCTCATGCTTGTGTTTGTTCGTTTCCTTCCAGCCTGCTTTAGGAATGGGGTCCGGAGCGGACCGTTTTAAGCAGTTGGGGTTCACATTCCCCTGCCCCCACCTGTGATGGCAGGGAGGGAACCCATCAAGTTCAATGCAGCACCGCACTGGGATCCATCTCATGCAACCATGCCACGTTGACATATCCTCGCTGCATGGGCCATCTGCCTGAGCACATGCGCGGTACGTTGGACCGCTATGACCGTTTGCCCCTTCTGCCTTAACATGGTCCAGGCTAAGTTGGCCGTATTCGAGCCGAATTCATGAACTCCTGCGAAGCATCTATGCAAGCAAACACTGGTTACAATCCCGAGGTCGCGAGAACAAGCGCCTACCGGGCATACTGAAGTGGATCCTATCTCATTTTTGGATCCCTGAGAGCCCCGTCGAGAAGCCAGGCATTGCACCCGCTTCGCACCCGGCGTAGCCCGCAGGGGTTGGGTTTGCAGGTATGAAGCACGCGAACGTCCTCCTTGGGAGGCATGCTCATGATTGGAGAGGCGCTCAAACTGCACCGATCAAACACAACACTGCGCAGCAGCAATGCTGGCACTCGATGGCACTCGGATGGTCTAGGGAGGTGCCTTTGGCACTCCTTAAGCGGCCATGCTTCACAGTCTGAGTCCATGAGGCATGTAATCACGAAGAAAATTGATATGCAAGCTAAGGTGGGCTGTTTGCAGGCACTTGTGGCGTAATCTGCAATCATGCACACGACACATTCGCAACAGGCCCAAGTCCTGCCAACCTAGAACACATTGCGCAATTCAATGAGATGGCTTTCGGATTCCTTCCTTGCGTCAATGGTAACGCTTTTGAGTTTGGGCCATGTCGCTGGCTGCTTGCCATGTTCGGGCTCAGGTTTGTCAACATATAATTCATCTTGCTGAAGCCGGCGAGGGGCTGACGAGAAAACACCAGTATGGTGTTAAAGCAGCTCACAAATTGGGTTTGACTGAGGGCAGAACCTTCGACTCGTATCTTTGCCGCTGGATTCCTTTTTTTGTGTCTGTGTGACTGGATCTGCCAATGACGCCACAAAACCCGATGAAGGTGAAGAAGCCATACGCCTTGGATCTCTGTCCACGAATTGCGGCTGTTGCCGAGCCGGCCGGGATCACAACAATCTGGGGCCTTGTGCAAAGCTTCGCAATCAACAGGTGGCAGAAAACTTGATTTAGCCAGGCTTAAGGTTCCAGCTGTTCATGGCACCTGCACGAGCCCTCAACCTGCCGCGACGCAACAGCATAGACGCATGTTGCATAAAAGTAGTTCTACCCCAACACTAAATCTGCACCGTTCCCAAGTAATGAGGGGCGCAATTCAAAGGTACAGTACTTGGGCTAAATCACTAGTACTGCATGGCTGGCACATTCGAAGTGCCCCATGGGCTGTCCAATGAGCCTGAGCTACTCCTTCTAAGTCTTTTGCTTGCCCTGAGAATCTTTTCCAAATGCCCGCGCTTGGCCCTGAACTGCGCTTTTGTAATCATGTGGATCCGAGATGGCATTCGGCACAACGAAGCTCTGGAGATGTTAGGGGAAGGACTTAGCCGCAGCTACGCTAGGACATGCTGAGGGAGCTTCTGAAGCAAGAATCAAACTCTGCAGCATCGCACCCTGACATGACGAGGATGGATACTGCGAAATTGGCACGATCATACCATCATCAGAACACCACAGCGACAAATCCTGGTCATTTTCCCACTGAGTGTCCTGGCCTCACACTCAGCATCGCTACCAGACTCAACCTTCGAGGCAAGCGCAGAGGATGAGTGGTCTCAGCTGGCACAAGCTGCGAAGAGTCATGGTAACATGCAGATATGGATTGGATGTGCACCCAGCAAGCTCTCAACAATACAGCACAAGGTCTCAAATCAAAGGATATCATACTTGATGGGGCTGCGTCACCAAGCGTTGACGAAACCATGTTTCAGCCGTAATTTCTTCGGATGCCTCATCCTTGGCAGCAGTGCTGCTGCGTCGGCCTCACATCCCACAGGAGCCCTACTCATGACTTCGTGCATGGGCAGCTTGAAGCAACTACACCAGCTCATGCTGCATCATGCTGCAGCCAAAGCTGTGTGTGCTTTCAGAGGAAGCAAAGACTTCAGCTGGATTGGAGTTCGGACGGGTCCAGTGCAGAGTCCTTACCACATCGCGCGGTTTCGAAAGTGTCAACCAGTCTAGTCTAGAGAGCACATGGGCCGTGGGGTGTCCTGCGAGACGCTGCTCCGGTACACTCTGTACATCGAGCGTGCTCCGCGGTCTGAGCTGAAACGATGCCTCAGGAAAATGCAAGTGAAAGGTGATACTGCTAGGCAAGAAGTTTGCTTCGCAAATTGCTGCGATATGCTGCGATTGAGATGCTTGTCATGCCCTCCCTGGACAAACGTGCCGTAGAGGAATCCACGGTGTTGATCAGGCCTCAACGGTCTGGCCACTGAGCAGCGGACAATTTGCTATGCTGCGCACGCATAAAGTGCACCCTTGCACCTCTTAAGCATTGTCTACGTGTAAGTGCGCACTAGCATCGTGCAAGGTCTGGCAGCTGTGGCTTGTGCCCAGGTTTGGTATTGTGTTGCCATGTTGCTCTGCTGCTTGTTGAGGATTTTGATCTACTGTACCCTCAGGCCTCAGGTCTGTTTGGCACAAGAAGTTTGGGGCTCAACCAGGACCCATTGAGAAGTGACAGCACTGGGGCACATGCGCCTTGCCCTGTCCTTCACGAATTCGTTCAGATAAAGCAGCACGCTCCTTTCTGGCATCTCCGCTATGCAATGCTATAATACCTCCTACGGAGGCATGACCTCCCCTGTAATGCAGAGCAACCTGTAAGCTTTTCTCTCTCTCTCTCTCTCTCTTGTCGCGTGGGGTCAGCCCGGTCGGCATGGTGCAACTCTTCCTCGGGCATGCCGCTCCAATTGAAGATGGCTGTTCTCTCATTCTCGCGGTCACTGATCAAATGGAGCAACTCCACCGCGCCAAACTTTTCGGATGTCCCCTCGATCATGCTCGCCATCTCTTTCAGCCACTGTTTCACGGCCCGCGGGCGGCGACCGCACCGGAGCCGAAGCACCACAGTTCCAGACGCGGCCAGTGCCGGGGAAGGTGATGTGAGCACAGTCCTCAAGATCTGCCGCACGAGCAAAACTGCCTCCTCACCAGTGCTGCCTGTATCCGCCAGAAGCACGTTACCACGGACCCCCTCTCTTCCATCTTCGAGTGGATACCATGGCCCCCTGATGGGGATGAGCAAAATATCGCTGGACACAGCAACCCGTGCAGCCCAGCCAGAACTGCTGACAGCACGCAGCTCAGCTAGCGCTGTGTTTGCACCCCAAACAGCGCTTGCACTGTGAATCCATTTGTCGGCCGCTTCAAGGCCTTCAAGCCCATCTCTCCAAAGAACAATGGCCTGGCTGTGAAGCCGCTTGAACCGAAGGCCGGCCTCCAAGAAGCGGAAGGAGATCTTGGATGCCTCTGATCTTGCATCGCGCTTGGCATCGGACCAGGCGGATGGATTGAAGCAGCCGCGTGGGAGCAAGGAGTAGCGCAAGTCCGGGCCTGGGCCCTGAAAGAAGACGGTGAGGACATGCGTGAAGTGCACCGGGTCTAGCAGATGCGAGTCGAAACGTTTGCAAAGCTCCGGCTCCATGACTCTCGGCCTTGCGGAGACTCGCAGAGTGCGAGGAGCTACGCCAGCTACGCCCGCGAGCTCGCTGCGTTTATCTGTCAGGCCGTCTGCCAGTGTTCTTAGCAGCTCCGAGGTTTCTGAGGCAGACTCCGTCAACGGCAGAAAACGACTCACGACTCTCTGGAACAACATATTTCGGCTGAACTTCTGCAAGAGGTGGCTCAGCGCAGAAGGGTCAGAGACAAGCAGATTACATGCCAAAACGTGCGTTGCATCCGCAAGACCTGTTACAGAAAAGGGCAAGGACTCTGCAGCTTTCATCTCGAGGAGGACAGCAGCCACTCGCGTCACCAAGCTCTGCGGAGCAGTTGGGTCAAGCTCGATCATGACACAAAGTGAGGGAAGTTCAGGCGCATGCGGAGGTGAGTTTGTCTTAAGGCGGTGGGCCACTGCATCCGCCGACTTCCACGCCAGAAGCAGAACATTATCAGGCGATAACGAGGGCTGGCAGTACTCCAGTAGCTGCGCAGATAAGCCATGGGTCTCCAATCGCAGCAGGCGTCCTTCATCGATGAGTCGGCAAGCCTTTCGGCCCATCAAGCTGGCGTCGTCCTCGTCCTGCAAGTGCTGCTTGAGGCGCCACTTGGTGCACGCATTGGAATCGCCAGCCCTCGCCAAACGGATCATGTCTGTCAGCAGCAAAAACCCATCAGCTCCACCTGGCAAACCGATCTGCAGATACCAATCTTGTGCTTCGCAGCTCAAGAGTTCCCACTGCATGGTAGCGTGACAGCAAGGTGCGCAGCAAAGAAAATGGCATCCATCGCCTAAAGTAGTTGCGAGAGACAATGCCTCATCAAAGCCATGGCCACAGAGATGTTTGGCAATCAGCGCTGCTTTCTCGCTGCCAGAATAAGAAAAGCTTGCAATATCCGTTTGCACCCTTACTGACTGAGAGATGCCAGTTTCTTCGGGGTGGAAGGCATCGGTATTGCAGCGCCGATCAACTGCAACGAGAGGCAAGCCACTGGCCAAGCTGACGGTGTGTCCAAGCACGGCCTGTGCAGGTCTACTCAGCTTGGAGCCATGTTTCTGTGTTTTTTGCCTTCTCTCCTTCTATAGTTGCAACCTTGAAGATTTTCCATGCTGGCTTAGGGCTAAGTACGAAAATGAAGTTCAACTAGACGTACAATACAGACCCAAGCCATGCATCCCTTGCCTGGCCCGCTCCCAGCTCAACAATGATGTCGCAGTCGTTCGGCATGTGCTGCAAGCATTGCGCGGCAATCGCCTCAACTTGCGCTCGGTGTTTGAAGGCCTTGGTTTGCTGGTAGGTTTGTTTCTTGGCGCTCCGCAGTACTGCGTTCACGGCATTGGAGACATGTTGACCTGACTTCGCTTCTGGCTGCGGACAAACCTCTCGCAACTCAATGCTCCTCAGCCACTGCAGAACCTGAATGATGAAGTCATCGCCCAGGTTTCGAGGGTTTACTGTGACTTCATCCATGGCAGTGTGCAGCTTGGGAATTGGCTCTAGCTACGGCTGAAGCCGAAAACCTGCAAGGAACTAACTTTTATGCACGCGTAATAGAGATTCTGCGCAGCCAGGCCCATCCTGCTCCATGGCCTTGAACCTTTCCGGGCCCATAGGGCCCGCAGCAAGGATTCGTGATTGGTCCTGCATACAGATGACTTGCTGTTGCCTCGAGGTGATCTCTTTTTGATGCAGGCCTTGGGAGCACTGGTCCGCGGCGACTCTCGGGTCCTTTGTGGGGAAGGTGTCTGCGCCTTGGCGTTGCACTGGAAAGCATTTGCAAATGAAGACTGCGCCACAGTGCGAATTGCCTGGGGAGATCGAGGAGATACGGAGCGGCTTTCACCACTTGGGGCGCTCCGGGGGCGAGATGGAGAACGCGACCTCAGAACGTAGAGATATGTCCAGGGATGCAATGTGCTTTACGGCCTTGCTCTGAGCCCGCTGCTTGCCATAAACCACCTGGCCATCCTGGCGGCGAGAATGGAAAGTTCCGCTGGTGCAGAGTTCATGGAATCAGGTATCGCTTCAAGGCTGAGCTTTGAGCTTTGGAATCTATGCCCAGTTCTTTCTGTTAGGGAAGCTACGCTGAATTCTTGGTCTGTGCCTACATGAAACTGTTTTGGGTCTGTGTTATGTTTTACCTTGTGTCCATTGCATCAAGCGCAACCATCGCCAACAGCATCATCTTGTTTTTGCATGCATTGCAGATGGGCAGAAGTCGTTTGCAGAATTCATGTGATCCACATTGGCCCTAGCATGTACAGTCCTGCAATGTCCTGTGCACACACACACACACATCTCACATTCCATCTTGTCGAGGCCGATGTACGGAGTAGTCATCAAAACGGTCTTCAAACTCCAAGCTTAAGCGGGACAGGTTCGATGCAAACGGCCTTCGCGTGGGGAGCTGGACAGCAGGACATGGACATGCACCTTCTAAGCGGTACAAAGGTCCGGCGGTGCCGGCAATGGAGTCAGCGCCTCTGTCCTGTGGCAAGACCGAGTTCAGTGCAGCAATGGCTCGTCCACGTGCTTTCCGCGCTGCAGATCGAGTAAGGAAGGATGCTTCTCTCGAAGGCAAGCTTACAGAGGATGATGTTAAGGATGGTGTGTCCGAAGTGTCTTCAGCGTCGCCAGTGCCATTGGCGACCGCTTCGAGGCGCTGCCCAGCGTGCGCACGGCTCCCAGGAGCCCGGGAGAGTTCGGGCCGAGCCATCCGAGCCACTGACATCTGCGATATCTGCGATATCTGGGATTCTTGCGATGTCTCCACCGCCGCACTTCCTGCCCTTCCTCTTCCCGAGGAGTTGAACAAACAAAGAAGCGTTTCCTGTGCCAAGCTCTCAATGCAATTGCAAACGCCTTGTGCCGCTTCCACTGACAGCCTTTGCCTCAATTCTTTCACACAGTTGTCAAGGCCAGCAGAAACAGCTTGCTCTGGCACCGAATGGTGGGTTGCGGCATGGCCTATTTCCACAAACCTCCAATGATTTAAGCAATTTTTCCACTGCTCAGACAGTGTCACGAGCTGAAGAAGTTGTTGCCGCACAGGGGTCAAGCAAAGGACCTCCAGATTTTGTAGCTGCAGCTGTGCTTGACGGTGTTCTTTGGCCTCACCCTCCCACGCAAGCTGCAAGGCTTCAGTTACAGCGTGGGCTACAGGTTGCCCTGCAAGTGGCTCCTGCATTTGGGCTACCGCTGCAAAGGAATCTTGCAACCTCTGCCGCGCCCAATCATTGTGGCTCCTTAGGGCATCAAGCTCTGCCCAGGTTTCTCGTTGCACTGCGACCTCATTTTGCAGCCATGCAATGGCCTGGGACGAATCGACTAACTCACGGGCAACTTGCAGCGCCCGTTTCTCTGTTTCTGCTCCTTGGGACTGGCTCGTTTCGACCTGTTCGGCGAGAATGCACTCTGCCCTGCGAAGCTCTGTGCACGCCGCCTTTTCGGAAAGTATTTGTTCGCGAATTCGGAGCAATGTCTGCTCCTCGCTTTCGCTGGAGGACTGCAAGCCTTGCAGAGTGGCTTGGGCCAAGGCTTGCTGCAATTCACGCATTTCAAAGGCCCGTTCAGCGGCATCTGCCGCGGAGGTACGCGTGGCAGTAGCAGCAGCAGACTCTGCCTCAGCAGTGGCAGCTCGTAGTCTGCTCGCATGAGCCTCAGATTCCTGCCAACGCTCTTCTGCAGAGCTTGCTCTTGCGGCGAGAACGCCCAAAGCTGTTTCCTGGCCATAGGTCCGCTCCTCGGCCAGCCTTCTCTCTGCAGTGAGCTCCAGGTCCGCTTCGCGGGCAGCTTCGCGCATCTTCCACTCGGACTGCTCCAGGCCACCCAATTGCTGCAGTAACCTCTGCCGCTCTTTCTGCAAGGCCCGGGCCCGCTGGCGATCACAATCCACTGCCCAATGTAATGCTGCATTTTCAGTTCGCAATCTTGCTACCAACGCAGCCCCTTCTCGAGCTCGCTGCTCCAATATCCCCCCCTCCCCTGCAAGTGCCAGGAGTTCTGGGGAAGCGGATGGTGCCCGCGCTTCATTCCTCAAGCGAAGCAGCTCACCTCGATTCAGCTCAAGCTTGTCACCCAGTTCGCATACCCGGACCAGTAGCCTGGAAGGGTCGGGAGAAAAGCTTCTAACCTTTCCAGACAAGCACGCCATGGTGGCAGAACCACTCATACTGTCTCATCATTACAGCATTGCTGGTCTTTCATTCAGGCTGCTGCAGCGTGTGATATTGATGATGTTGTTGCCTGTATGCTGCTTCTCTTGCAGTACAGCTGGAGGTCTTGATGCGAACGGCTGCCGGATGCCCTCAGATCTTGATACCGCGCCCGCAGCATGTGAGATGAGAGCGCTGCATGCACGTGTCGACCGGAAAAAGGTGTTGAACCTTCGTCATGGCGCCGGCAGCATTTGCTGCCGCCAATGCTTGAATTGCTTCGGCCTGTGACAGGCCAAGCACACAAACCTCAGCAGCCGCCTTGGGCTGGACTGCGCCTCGTTCAGCCCTGGCTCCCCCAAACCTGGCACCTTGATGAAGCTGGAGGCTCGTACATGTGAGGCCGAGTACTTGCAGGCTTGGCGCCTGGGGAGCGATCAGCCATCCGCCACCAACTCGGATTCGAGCAGTTGCTCCGTCCTGCATAACTTCATCTCAGGTCTCTGGCTATCCCCACTGACACTCCCTGCATGACCAAGGCCACTGCCGATTTCTGCATCAGGGCGGCAAGCCTAAACGCTTGCGTGGCGGGGAAGGTGGGAGTAAGGGCAAGGCAATGCTCAGCTCCAGGAACCTCAACTCTTAGCTGTCGGAATCCCTCGCCTGCCGCCCCCCCAGCCTAGCATCTCACCTTCGCGAGCCCTAGGTTTATGGCTTTTGTGCCGGGAATCTAAGGTGCAGGCATCGGGCACTGTTTGGCCAGGTGCCCCGTCCTATCACAAAGCTGACACTGAAGATCAGTTTGCACCTCAGGCAGTGAAGTTCTACTACTCCATCTGTGTTGACAATGTGCTGATTACCTGACGAGATTGCAATTGCTAAGGGGTCCGCGCATGCATCAAAGCAGGTTGCCCGACGAAGTGTTGGGCAATTTGGTGCCAGATGCTCGGCATCTCCGCCTTGGCATGCGCCCACTGACATTTCCAAACTGGTTCATTTCTTTTCGAAATGTCTCCGCATGCATGCATTGCGCTGAGGCCTCCGCAGAGCTGGCAGTCCTGATGCTTGTGATTTTTGGCATCAAGCTCCAGCTGACGAACTTGTTGCTGCAGCCTGGCTGGGTGAGATCTATGGAAGGAGTTGAACTCTATAGCAACACGTTCTTGGCTAGGTCCAGGTGTTGTGCCGGAGCAGAGGGCACTCCGCAATGCTGTGACCGGGGGCACCTCGATGCATCGAGGTGCAAAAGAAGTCCCAGAAGAAGGAAGGAGGAAGTTTCAGCAGGTTCTAAAGTTCAAGCTTGGCACCACAGTAGGCACACCAAAGCGCTGTTGTTTGCGAACCTGCAGCAGGAAAGTATTTGCTCTTTTTTGCGGCCTTGTGGAAGGATGACTCTGCCTGTGGAGGCTTCTACTCCACGAGACCTGTGCCATCATGCAAGCAACGCAAAGCACCAGCGGTGCTCCCACAACCTCTCCACTTCCACGATGAAAGGGACCTTCACATCTTTCTACACATACAGAACGCTGAAAGGAGGCCAATCAAAGCTGCTTTCAGCTGCCTCCTTCTCCACCGTAACTTCCACGGGCACCTCCTCAGCGCACGCAACAAAACCAAGAACAGTTTTGGCACGTTGTGGCTAGCCCCGTGGCGTTGCCAGGTCAAGCACCACTTTTTTCTCTGTGGGACAGTCCGCATACATGTACAGGAGCTCCACCCGCCACTTTCCTCAGTTGTTGTGCTTGGAAGTGGCGCCGCTGCTGGTGCACCTGATAAAATATCCAAGCAGCCTCCTACAACACACTCTGTCTTGTGGATGTCCGGCCTAGTAACCTGGCGGAGAAGACTTCACAAGCTATGGCGGCTATGACGATCGAGCCACTTGGCAATATAAAGTCGGTAAGTCAAGTTGCCAAGTTGCAGTCTAGCTAATGTTGACTTCACATTAAGAACTCCCTGCTCAATATAAAATGCCAGCGCCGGAACACCTTTATAATTCCCCCCACAATGATATAATCCCCCGAATGTGTATTTTTTCGGGACAACGATTTCAATTAGATGTTAATTAACCCGAATTAAGCGTTCAAACGCATATTTCTGGCACTATTATTCCGGGGGTCCCCCGTTGTGTATGGAGATAGATCGATCGGACGGGGGGGAGGTGGGGGGAGATCATGTATTAGTGCGAAGCTAACATGATTTGCCAGAACTTGCCAGTGCACCATTCTATTTCCATGGTCCAGTACGCTGACCGGATGCATTTACTCACTCTCGAAGGTAATCGGCTAATCTAGGATCGGGTCACAAACTGGCATCAGAAAGAATGGGGAAGCAACATTTCGATTCAAGCACCGTTGTGGCAGTAAGGTAAGTAAGCACCACTGAAGATGCAGAGCACTGGCAGCTGCCGTTGCCCTTGTCAAGACTTTCTACACACCACCTCGTCACACATGACTCCGCAATGCATGCAAGTGTTGTGCATTCGGGCTGCAACTTTCTTCCCGACTGGAGGGATGCAAGCCACGAAAGCAGCCACGAAATCGAAGCTCATGGGAAGCAATAGATATGGTTCGTGGCCGACAGCAGGTCACACAAGTCGAAGACTGCAACATGACAAACACACGACCGGAAACCTGGTGCAGAACCTTTGGTCAAACTCACAACTTGACAGATGTGCAGCAGTTCGGTTTTCCCTTATGGTCTTCGCTGCTTCGCTCCTATGATCTCCTGTGCAACCATGCAGCTGTTTGCCATCGCTGTTGGCAGCCCCATCATCCCGTGTCCCCGTATCCTGTGGCAAATCCTCCTCCTGCTGTCCAAGCATGTTCGCGGCACTTTACTTTCTAGAATTCTGCACGCTCTATGGGGACCGTTGTGCAGCATGCTCGTATGGATTGGCAAATTCATGCTTCAGCCCAAATGGCACGGTATGGTTTGCTGGAGGGGACAAAGATGGATTGAGACATGCAAACATCCATTCATACAGCTAACGGCATCGCCACATCGGCAAAAGCACTCAATCAAAAGACTTGTCGACAAAAAGCTATGCGCAAGTCGAGGGAGAAGCTTGCTAGTGGCTGTTCACTAAAACCGGTTCCATGGAGGGAAAGTCGCAGAACCAATTCAGAATGACCGCGATCTGAGTCCAGCAGGAAGTGGATGGGCTTAAGGCCAAGCTCAGGACTTTGGTGAAAGAATATAGAATTCTCAGACGTCTTCTGGATTTTGCCAAGGAGTCTTCAACTTGCGGGGCAAAGGGCGGCCAACGAAAGCCAGCCAGGTGCCGGGTGCTTAGCACGTGAACACAAAAGGAGGAGCGAAGACTCATGCACCCAAGAGGCACAAGAGGTGCATTGTTATTTACTTGCACCATGACCACGCAAGGGCAGCAAGCACTACAGAACTCCAAGGGAGATTTGACACAACTATGAACGTACTGAAGGAGGAGGAAGTTTCGATGCAGCCGGCGAGCACGATGTTAGTCGTACCGTGGCCACGCAGAAGTAATGAGCGTAGCAAGCTTAAATCAACCAACCCGTGAGCAAATAAGTTACCTGTATGGGAAGTGTATATATAAATATATATTACTGAGTATATCAGCCTCTTTGTTGGCTGGTTTCTGTTTTGAGCATTTGGAGTCCAGAAGCGATTTATAAAATCCCAGAAGC